GAGCTGCTGGAGCTGCCGGTGGAGCTGAGGCCGCTGGGCCTACTGGAGTTGGTGTAGCTGCTGACCCTGGGGTTGGTGCTGCAGGGGCTGGAGCTGGAGGTGCTGACGCTCGTCCTCCTGCAGGTGCTGGAGCCGACGGTGCGACTGGAGCTGGTGCTACTTGGGGTACTGGAGTTGGCACTACAGGAGCTGCTGGTGGTGCTACGGGAGTTGGAGGTGCTGCTGGGGGTTCTCGTGCTGTCTCTGCTAGTTCTGCAGGCACTTCACGACCGCGGCCGTACTTCGTTCCGCTCCTTCAGCAGGTTCTTGGTCAGCCTCCTCCTCCCTGTCCTGCTCCCTCCTTAGAGTGTCCTCCGCCTGTCCAGTCGCAGGTACAGTTACAGCCTGCCTCGCCACTTCCTAGTCCTTCTCCCTACACTGGTCCCACAGGAGGTCTTACGGAGCGTCGTGAGCCTGAGTCTCGTCCTGTGTCGCCTGAGTCTCGTTCTTAGTCACCTGTTCGTACTGCTCGCACTGGTCGTCGTGTCCCGCGTCCGCGTCCTCCTGCTGTCCCAGGCACTCACCAGATGACGCTTCGTCTTTCCACTGCTCCACAGCGTGTCTCTCTGCCTTCTCCTCCTGCGTCCTCTCTTCCTGCCCTTGCTGACCCGGAGTCTGACTCTCTTCGTGCTGCTAGTCCTACTGTCACGCGTCTCCTGGCCACTGCTGTCACTGACCCTTCCTTTGAGTCGGCTGCTGCGTCTGCCTTAGTTGCTGAGCTTGTCGACTTTGCTGCTCACTGTCGTCTAGACTACGCTGCCAGTCTTGTTGCTGAGTCTGAGTCTGTCTGTCCTCCGTCCGTCGGGGGTGAGTGTGCTCTTGGCACGGACGTCCTTGAGGACAGGCAGGAGGAGTTTGAGTGCTTTGCCGCTGCTGTACCTCATCTCGTGTCCATGCTGATTGCACCTGAGGGAGACCCGGATGCACCAAACATCCCGACCCCGCGCTCTTACGCTGAGGCGATCGCGGGTGAGTACTCCTCTCAGTGGCGGTCAGCCATGGACGCAGAGATGGCATCCTGGAAGTCCACTGGCACTTACGTCGACGAGGTTCCCCCTCCTGGGGCGAACATCGTCAGTGGCATGTGGATTTTCAGGGTGAAGCGGCCGCCAGGTTCTCCGCCTGTCTTCAAGGCTCGTTACGTTGCTCGAGGCTTCAGTCAGCGAGAGGGAGTAGACTTCTTCCAGACCTTCTCCCCCACCCCGAAGATGACCACTCTTCGGGTGCTACTGCACGTTGCCGCTCAGCGTGACTACGAGCTTCACTCTCTTGACTTCAGTACAGCTTTCTTGCAGGGCAGCCTGCACGAGGAGATCTGGCTGCGCCGCCCTCCTGGCTTCACTGGGTCGTTCCCTCCTGGTACCCAGTTGAGCCTCCGGCGGCCAGTCTACGGTCTCCGCCAGGCGCCGCGTGAGTGGCACAACACACTGAGGACTACTCTTGCGGCTCTTGGGTTCGCGCCTTCTACTGCTGACACGTCGCTGTTTCTGCGCACCGACACTTCGCTGCCGCCGTTCTACATCTTCGTGTACGTCGACGACTTGGTCTTTGCCACTGCTGACACTGAGGCTCTCGCCCTGGTGAAGTCGGAGCTGCAGAAGAGACACACGTGCACAGACCTGGGTGAGCTGCGCAGTTACCTTGGCTTGCAGATCACACGGGACAGAGCACGCCGCACCATCACCCTGTCTCAGTCACACATGGTGCAGCAGGTCCTTCAGCGCTTCGGCTTCACCTGGTCCTCGGCACAGGCCACTCCTCTGGCTACAGGTCACTCGCTCTCAGCTCCACCTTCGGACGAGTTCGTAGAGCCGAGTGGTCCTTACCCAGAGCTAGTTGGCTGCCTCATGTACCTGATGACCTGCACTCGTCCTGACCTCGCGTACCCTCTTGGCCTTCCGGCTCGCTACGTGGCTCCTGGTCGGCACCGAAAGGTGCACATGGATGATGCTAAGAGGGTACTGTGCTACTTGTGCAGTACATCGGGCATGGGGCTCGTGTTGGAGGACGGGGCGACGTTGTCCTCACTGGTCACTCGGACGCTTCATGGGTTGACGACCAGGCTACGCAGCGGTCGTCACAGGGTTACACCTTCAGTCTTGGCTCTGGTTCAGTTTCTTGGCGTTCTACACGCTCGTCTTCAGTTCTCAGCTCCAGTTGTGAGGCTGAGATCTACGCCACAGCCATGGCTGCACAGGAGTTACGCTGGCTCACCTACTTGCTGACTGACTTGGGAGAGCGGCCTCGTTCTCCTCCAGTGCTGTACGTCGGCAACAAGGCTACCATTGCCTTGTGTGAGGAGCACAGACTGGAGCACAGAACGAAGCACATCGCTCTGCGTTACTTCCTGGCTCGAGAGTTGCAGCAGCGTGGTCAGCTTCGTCTGCGTTACGTGGCCACTCGCGCCAACACTGCTGATATATTCACCAAGGCACTTCAGTCTGGTGATCATCAGCGTTTCTGCACTATGCTAGGGCTTGTTCCCACTTGTCCTCACTTGCTGTAGGCTTTGGTTGTACTGTGATCTATATATATATACCTGCATGCTTGCTTTGCTAGGTAGAGATCACTGTGATGTTTGTGTTGCATATATGCCTCTGCATGTGAACCGCCTTGTGGCCATTTGTTTGTGCTCAGTGTGTGTGGTGACGTTGTGATCCACCCTGAGCTTGCTTTGCCTTTCTTGACTGGTCTTGTGACCCCTTGCTCTCCCCCACTTTGCCTATGGGGGTGTGTCAAATTTCATATCTGCTAGAGTTTGTTTAGGCTGTAGTGGGGTAGCGACTATGGGGTACAGTAAGTTTAGGGTTTCCTATTTGTACCCAACTCTTTCCTAGTTCAATCACTCTTGTTCATTCTGACATCAAGTGCTGCACCTCGAAGAAGCGAAACCGCGTAATTAATACGCGTGGCATCGTCGTTAACTCCTGCTGCAGTGAAGAAGACCTCGACCCCGAACAGCCACCCTTTTACTGTAACCGTCTTGTCCGTAGGCTTAAACGGGGGCGGGTTGACGGGCTTGATCTTGATCGTCGTTACTGCAACTGGCGCTGCTGCCGCTCGTTGCCTATCCTCCTCTTCGAAGTCACGTGTGAGCACATCCAAAGGATTGCTCACCGCTTGACTGTTGCCCTCGCCTTCGTCCTCGGGCGACACCTGACGCGCTTCACCTCGCGTCTGGCGCAGCTCGGCGTTTTCTTCACGCAGTGTTGTCACTTCCGCCATTAATGTCTTCATGCTCTCCTGCATTTCTGCCACTTGTGCCATCATCCTGTTAACTGCCTCCTGATCCATGTGCCTAGCGCTACGTCTGGTGGCCAGTCGGGTCTCCGTGGCCTTCAGGCAAGTGAAAACTCGAACTATCGGAGTCGGGCAGGATTGAATTAACAATCCCTGCAGCCAACCGTCGTGTAGTCACTAAACCAGCCACACCCTATGCCACCAAACTACCCTCGGAAAAGCGGGGTGAACTAGGAAAGTAGCTCTGATACCAGGTGTTATGAGTTGTAAAAGAGAGTGCGCAGGTAAACGAATAACGAGACTGTGATTAACTGATCTGAGAATACAATGAAGGCACAGACTAATGTAGGGGTTGGCCTAGCTAGGAGGAAACCTCGGACGAGCGAGGTTGGGGTGCAGGTTTGGCGATGGGAAATGCCGAAGGCGACGCGAGGAGCCTCGGCAGCGTTGAAATCGGCCGAACGTGCAAAGTCCGAAAATCAGGCTGTACGCGTAGCAGTCAACCCCGATAAGGAATTCGGGAAAATTCCTTACAGTGATGAACTCCCAACGGAAATAACTGAAAAACAACGTGAAAATGAATGCGCACAAAAAACATACAAAATGCATGACGTTATGCGGCGGCTGGTTGACGTGCAAAAATGATATTTGCACCCAACACAATACTCACGCCTACTGCTTCACACCTCATGCATCACGCCTCATGCCCTCACACCTCATGCCTCACACCCAGGGTCCTCGACATCAGACATTTTTGTCTGTTTGTCTTAGTTTCCAGACGATTTTTTTCCAGTTAATCTGATTTTCAAGGAATGATTTATTTTTTCATCTGATTGAGTAGAAATGCTTTTTTGTCTTCATCTGATTCATCAGAAATGTAATATATGTTTCGTCTGAAATCGAAACATGTTAGAGTACGGGGATTTCCCGCAGAACATGCTCTGACAGGGCAAATCTGTTGTCAAAGCGAATCTGCTGTGTTGTGTAAGGTCGAATCTCTTGTGTCAGGACGAGTTTTCTATGATTGGATGAACATGTTGCGCTCTGACGTCGCGAATCTGCCGTGTCAGAGCAAATTTGCTCTGATTGGGCGAATATTTTGTGCTCTGACAGGGCGAATCTGCCGTGTTAGGGTGATTTTGCTGAGACCAGTGAAGTGCGAATCACACCAGTTTGTACTGCGAATGAATGTGAAAGGTCCAGAAAAGTCAGGCTCACCTTGTTATCCCACGTGCATCTACACGCTAGAAACTCTATTTTAATTGGTCAGACAAGTTCTTTTGAAATTTCTGATGCATCAGACACGCAAAGGCGAAATATCTGATGCATCAGACGGGCCCGAAGGGCCCGTCTGACGCATCAGGGGGGTTCAAATCCTAGCGAGGACCCTGCTCACACCTCATCGCTCCCCCCCTTCTCAAATTTAATGAAGGGAGAGAAATGAATTTATGCCTTTTTGTGCACATGTCCATGTATGCATTTCCTTTCCATTCCACCAAACAGTTGTGTGACGCAATGACCATCACCCATTACTACCGTATTACCGTACGGTACTCCGACTATGCCATGCCTTCGCTTAGAGTGCTTGTACTGTACTCTTCATGGCCGTGAACTATTCATTGAACTACCATAGGTACGGTACAAAACCACCTTAATCAAACATGTTTCCTAGTAGCACATCATTTTGCCAATGTTATGAATACAGGGCCTGGGTTGATGCATTATTCCTTGTCAGCATAATCTTTCATGGGATCATCATAGTGAACTCTCTTAAGCCGATATACCTCCATATCCTCAGCCGTGACCTGCCATCATGTGAAATTTGGAATAAGACAAAAAGCAGATTAGCAAGACATGTAACACTAGGGCAGTGCCGAACCACTCATCATGATCAACCTTCAACGTACTGCACCATCGCGCCGAACACCTAATGCCATACATCCCATCCTCGTGAAAGCTAACGCATGATCATAATGCACGGCTCATCATTATGATGACACATTTTGAATACACATACCCTATTATCCTTCTTCATGCCACATCTTGAATGACACATTCATCATCTTCATGCCACATATCAGCAAGACACATACCTCGTCATCATGCCGCACATTGTACTTTCTCTTCCTCTCGTCCTTCTCCTCCATTGCACGCAACTCCATCTGTCATGCATATGGGAAATGGGGGTAAGAGCAACACGAGCTGTATGAGCAACGCGATAAGAGTTTTAATATCATGTGTGCATGTATACAGTATGTAGTTTTGAATCTTGGTCCAAAGTACCCACCTTCACGGAAGTGGGGAAGTGGGGGAAGCAGGTGATGTGTATGTAAAGAAGAAGAAAAATGCAAATCAGCCACCTTTATTGTGGTAGAGGGAATGATGGAGGGGTCTGACTGAAGGACTGTTCAGCACATGTTACCAAGAGCAATTGGCTAAACACATACAGGACAGCGGGACTGATGCCAAACCGGCATGCCAAACATGAACAATAAAGCTGCGAAAATTGACTAAAAATCCCCACGTGGGTGACGGACCGTCAATAACTGCAAAAAACCACTACGGACCGTGCGCATGTCAACAGAAGCACATACCTTCTTAGCTGCCTGCTTAAGCTTCTCCGGGTCCAGTGTTGATGGATCCACGTCCTCCCCTCCCGCACTTCCCCATGGCAACACCACCCCGCCCCCTGCAGCTGCTGCTTTTCCACTGCTTCCATCACCCCCACCCTCACCACCTTCGTTCCCACCCTCGAACCCCCTCCTATCATCACCTAGAGCGCCTGCCAAACCAGCAGCTGTGGAGGCTTCCGCAGCTGCCTCTGCGGCTTGGATGCCTGCCGAGCCTGTGCAATAGCTCAGGCGCAGCATCTGATGGCAGCAGGAGTAGCCCCACTGCCCATCCTTCTAGTAGGATCCCCACACAGATGTGTGGTTGTTGACATACACATCCTCCTCGTACCTGGTGGCAATGAAAAATATACAATTATTGTGAAGAGAAAGGGCAATAATGTCAATAGGAATTGAAATGAGAAGGAAAGTAGAATGATAGATTCAGTAAACATCAATTCCGCCTTCATTTCTCCCTTGAATTCAGCCATTCAAGATGCTCCTCTCCCATCTAAGGGAATCAACATGCATTTGTGCATGTTGTGATTGCGTAGTTACCACCTCGAGTATTTGTGTAAGGAATTTTCCGGATTCCTTACTGGGTCACACTGTACGCGTACAACCCCGACTTTCGGAAAACCAGGCTCGGCCCGCCGACCTCGCCTTCCGAGCCACCACCGCGTCGCTTTCGGGTTTTCCAACCCCGAACCTGCACCCAACCATCTCGCGACCCCGCGACCTCGGCCTAGCTAGCCTTGCTATATTGTGCCTAGGCCTCGTTGTTCATTCAGATGTTGTAATCACTTCCGCATTATTGAGTTCTGCGCACTCTTTCCTTTCACAACTTATAACACTTGGTATCAGAGCCTAAAGTCCTAGGTTACCCTCGCGTTTCCGGGGTAGTTTGTAGAAGGGGAGCGATAGACTTGGTGGGCTGTTAAGCGGTCGGCCCGTGGAATAGATCTGATTATTCCACTCCGACTACGATAGCATTAACGCCTTCACCGAAGTCAGAAAAATCGCGAGCCACCCCCTGCCCGTTCGACGAAGCCTGAGGCACATGGAGCAGGCCGAGTTCAACGAGTTCATGCAACAGTTCCGTGCGATGCAGGCCAACTTGCAGGGTATGACTGCAGAGATGGAGCGTCTACGGAAGGAAAACGCCGAACTACACCAGGCGCGTGGTGAAGCGCGCAAGGAGTCGCCTGTCGTGGACGACGCAAGTAGCAGCACTACACCAGATGAGCGGGTCTGGAGCGAGCTGGAAGGCGAGATGGATGCGGACGAAGCGAGGCAGGCGCAGCAGGAACAGTCGCCACAACAATCGCGTGCAGTACCACCACGTGCAGCAGCGACGACGACGGCGACGCCAGCAGCAATGCCAATGGCCCCGATGGCAGCAACGGCTTTTGTGAAAATCAAGCCGACAAACCCGCCCCCATTTAACCCGAGTGACAAGTTTGTCACTGTTTCCGCATGGTTATTCGGTGTGGAAGTGTTCTTTAATGCTGCTATGATTTATGATGACGCCACCCGCATTAATTTCGCAGTTTCACTGTTGCGAGGACCTGCGCTGGAGTGGTGAAGTGCTGCTTCAGAAATTTTCCCGTGGGCTCGTAGTATGGCGCGAGTGGAGCGCCAGTGAGGACCAAGACCGCCGATGACAACCGTGACGAAGGCGTCCTCTGAAATCGATCCTCCACATCGAAGAAGCTTGTCGCGCAGCTCGCGGCAGCGACTGATATACGCCATTCCCTTCTCGCCTGGTTTCATTTCGATTGTTGTCAGCTGCGCCATTAACCGACTTTGGTTTACGCTGTCTGTTGCTTGATACAGGCTCTTCAAGTGATTGTACGCGAGCTCCGCGGAGTTGCCGTAGCCTCGGTAAGACCGTATGTTTTGTTGTTGAGTTGGAGTGATGTTCCTCAGTAGTATCGTGTACGCCATCATCGATTGATAGGTGTACTGCTGCTTCTCATACTGTGTGCCGTTTGTTGGGTATGGCAGGGACCCGTCGAAGAAGCCAAGGATTTGCGCTCCTTCCATCATCCCCTGGACTATTGGGTGATTGATAGTGGCGCTACCTATAGCATGACACCTCGCCCGGACTTGCTCACCGAACTCGAGCCGTCACCGGTGAAGCATGTCACATCGGCTTTGGGGCAGCGAGCAGAGGTGAAAGGCATGGGCAAGGCCATGTTCAAGGGTGCTGATGGGAAGATGGTGGGCCTCAAGAACGTGCTTTGGGTGCCCAGCCTTGCTGCAAACCTGATTTCCGTGCGGCGGTTGGCAAAGGCCGGCATGGACACGAACTCGAAGGGAGCCAAGACCTACACCGCAAGGCTTGGCGATCGAATTCTTTGGGACCTTCATGAGGACAGGGATGTCTACAACGAGATGTGGCAGATCCCAGTGGTCCCTATGCCTAAGGAGAGGCAAGTGGCAGCAAGCATCAGCACCAAGGATGGAGCGGTCGGTAGCGACGATGGCGCGAACGGTCGCGCTAAGGAGAATGAGCTCAAGAAGAGCAAACCTGGAGGGACCAGCAAGTTCAGTGAACCTAAGGAGAGTGGTGCAGCAACCAAGGAGCAGCAAAAGGGTGAGGAGAACCCAGAGGCAGCAGCGGAGGAGGACTACGGAGAGAGTATGTGGGGCGCTATTGCGAGCGCGGCATTCTCCAATCCAACTTCGGCTACGGGGGAGTGTGATTGGCTCACCTTGCATCGGCGCATGGGGCATGTGGCCCTGCCCATCTTGCAGCAGCTAGTGAAGAATGAGATGGTTGCTGGCATACGTGTGAAGGGGGAGCCCGATGAGGTGCTTGGCTGCCCGACGTGCATTCAAGCCAAGTTCACCCGGTTTCCGTTCCCTAGTTCGGAGGCAACGGCAAAGGCACCGCTTGATGAGGTGGTGATGGACGTGGTGGGCCCCCTGAAGCTTGGAGCTGCTGGAGCTGAGTATTTTCTCACCATTGTCGACGTCTACACCCGCATGACTTGGGTGTACGTGCTGGCCAAGAAGAGCGACGTGGCTGAAACGTTGAAGACGGATTGGTTTCCGATGGTGGAGCGGCAACAAGACCGTCTAGTCAAGTCAATCCGCACCGATCGAGGGGGAGAGTTCCTGAGCAAGGAGTTTGGGTTGTGGCTGAAGAAGAATGGTATTCGGCACTCCCTCACCGTGCCATACTCCCCTGCAATGAACGGCATCGCCGAGCGAGCGAACCGCACAATCACGGAGGCGGCACGCGGGTTGCTCATTGAAGCCGGGCTACCCGACTATTTCTGGCCTGATGCGGTGCGGAGCGCGTGTGTGGCCAAGAACAGAGCCTTGACTCATGTGGGAGCAGACAAATGGGTGCCCTATGTGGAGTGGCTAGGAAGGAAGCCAAAGGTGGATATGCTTCGGGTGTTCGGGTGCATGTGCATGGCGCTCATGCCTAAGCATCTTCGGCACAACAAGCTTGGTGCCAAGGCGGTGTGGGCCGTGCACTTGGGCATGGCTCAAAACAGCAAGGGATGGCTTCTTTGGGACCCATTCACCAAGAAGTTCTTGGTGAGCAGGGACTGCAAGTTCATGGAGAACTTCATGTACAAGGATTGGAAGGCGGAGAATGAGGCGAAGATAGGCGTGCGGTTTGGGGAGGTGAAGAGTTCCGGTTTGGAGCATGTGGAGCTGCCTTTGGAGCTGAGCAGCGGCAGCACAACCACAAGGCAATCCTCCCTTGTGAATGGGGGAGAGGAGGCCAATGATGCAGAGGAAGAAGAGGAGGAGGTGCAGCAAGTGAGCGAGCGTGCACCGTCACTCCCTTCCCGTACTACGAGTGCTCCACGGATTCGAGCCACACCGCAGCAACGCCAAGGCCTTCAAGTCCCTGCAGCTGAGGAGGAAGGAAGGGGGAAGAGGAGAGTTCAACCCCCTAATAGGCTGACCTATGATGCGCCGGGAAAGCAGGGCAAGACAGCCCTGGCCGGAGCGGCAATGATGGTCGGAGACGACGAGGAGAGTGACTACGAGGAGTGTGCCTTCGCGTTCTTCTCTCCGGTGGAGATGCCGGGAGAACCAGCAACTCTCAAGGAGGCTTTGGAGAGTAGTGATGCTGAGGAGTGGAAGAAGGCCATGGAGAGTGAGCTGAAGAGCATCGAGGAGAATGACACGTTTGAATTGGTGGAGCTACCGGAGGGGCGTACGGCGATAACGTCCAAGTGGCTCTTCAAAATCAAGTCGGATGCCGACGGCAAGATCGAGCGCTACAAGTCTAGGCTTGTAGCCAAGGGGTACCAGCAGAAGGAGAAGGTGGACTTCAAGGAGCTGTTTGCCCCTGTGGTGAAGCCGACGACGCTGCGAACCCTATTCGCGGGAGCCGCCATCAAAGGATGGGTAGTAAAGCAAATGGACATCGTAACGGCATTCCTTAACGGCATCCTTGAGGAGGAGATTTTTATGGCGCAGCCAGAGGGGTTTGATGATGGTAGTGGCAGAGTGTGGAAGCTGAAGAAGGCCCTCTATGGGCTGAAGCAGGCCCCTAGGCAATGGTACATGAAGCTGCGCGAAGTGTTGGAGGGGATCGGCTTCACTCCCTCAACGGCCGATCACTCCTTGTTCATGCTTGGCGAGGGGGAGCAGAGGAGTTTCATGGTGGTTTATGTGGATGACATCCTCATTTTCTCACCCTCTTCTGACCTTGTGAAGGAGGTGATGCTGAAGCTTCAAGACAAGTTCAAGTGCAAGGCCCTTGGTGACGTGAGCTTCTACCTTGGGCTCCACATCGAACGAGATGTGGAGAAGCGGTGCATGCGAGTGCATCAACGAAAGTACCTGGAGGCATTGGCTGCCAACTTTGGGCAGAGTGAAGGCCATGTGGCTACACCCTTTCCCTCTGGGTTCAAGTGTGTGAAGGGACCAGAGGAGGAGAGCGTTGGTGAAGAGGAGAGGCGCCGATTCCACTCGTTGGTGGGCAGCCTCATGTATGCGGCGGTAAACACCCGACCGGACGTCGCGTTTGCTACCGGGCAGCTGGCTAGGGTTGTGCAATGCCCTAATGAGGAGCAGGTAGCAGCTGGAATGAGGGTGGCCAAGTATCTTGGCCAAACACCGACCGTTGGGCTGCAATACTCGGCGGCGGCACAAAGGCGCCAAAAGGGAGCGGATGGTGTTGAACCCGGGCGTTTGTTCCTCACCGCCTACTCGGATGCTTCATATGCATCAGAAACAGAAGACATGACAAGTGTGGGAGGCTTCATATGCTGTGTTGGTGGAGG